CACACACACACCACCTTCTTTCTCTATCTGCAAAGCCCTGGCAGACTACCTGTTCCCTTTGTACTCCATTTTATCTGTAAACAGGATTAAAATGACTCTTTCTCGAGGTTGCTATGAAGTTCAAATAGGACAGGGCGAGTGCTAGTGAAATGCCACTGGGAGGTTCTTAGTTTGTTTGTTTGTTTTAATTTTGTTTTGTATGACTTTCTCCTCACTCACTTATAAAAAGCTGAGCTTTAGAGGAATGGGGCCCAGAGCCCATAATCATTAAAGGCCTAAGCCAGGACCACCTTCCCCTGCCTTCTTTCCATTTTATGTTTCTTTCTTCCTTGTCCCAAGAGAGGTGCTGCTCCTGACTGAGAAGGAGCCAAGGATGTTTCTTATTCACAGCACGTGTCTGCAAGACTGTGGGTGCCAAGGACAGCCCTCAGACCGATGTTCTCCTCGTTGTTCTTAAAATAGAGAAACAATTTGAGAACGAGGCAAACCCAAATCACCTGAGTGCAGCCCCCTGCCCTTGTTCCACTTCTGGCTCAAGAGGCATACCAGCCAGGCTCTTAAGGAGAGAAGATTGTGTCCTTCGATCTAAGTCAATGGTAGTCAAAGCTTGCCTGTGAAGGGGAAGAGGCTGCCCTGGCTTCTTGAAATTCTGCACGGGTCTTCTCTGAGTGTCCACCCTGGAAAACAGGCAGAACCATGGCGTGCCTGCTAGGACAGGTCTTCTCAGGAGGAAACTCAAAAACAGGGGAGGTGACGGGAGTGCCTCAGGCTATGCTAACCTACAGTTAGATTGAGGCCTTCAGTTCTGTGTCCTCAGCAGTGAGAGCATCATTGCCAGGCTTCTCAAGCCAGGAGATGGATAGTAGATACAGGAGAAGGGTGTCCCACCAGCTTGGGGACAGAGCTTTGAGCTTCCGAGTCACTCTTATACAAGGAGACCTCCTCTTCCCTAGGCTAGGCTTACCAGGGGTTTCCTGCCTGGATGGTCTGAATCCACTTGCTGCTGCTTCCTGTGTCCTTCACCTGTGATTCTCGCCTGCTCATATCTCCAAGCCTCAGATATTGTCTCTGTCTGGACCATCCAGACATGCTCACACCCAGGCATCAGAAGATGGAGTGGTTTCCAGGACAGAGCGTTGGCACTGAAGGAACTAGATTCTCGAGGTCAAACCCAAAGCATAATTTCAGATGCATGGGGAGCAGCTCCGCTGCAAGAGGCCACCTCTTCCAGAGAGGTGTCAGCAGTGACAGTTGTCACGTGGGGATCAGGAGGCTTAGCCAGAACCCCAACCTTCTTGCTAGTTTTTAATGTCTGTAGGGTGTGTGTGTTTCTACTGGTTTCCTTGAACCCAATATCAATCAGTTAGTTGTACCTGCTGCCCAGAGTCATTTTCAGGAAATTGTTCATTAAGGAGAGTAAGCTACATGTTTAAAATCTTCATAACTCACCACTAAGACACCTGCATCTCTGCCTCCTGTGCCCCCTGCTAATGGAGTTTTTGTTGTTTGCTTAAGATATGTGCTGAATGCACACTTGCTAGTTGAGGGAAGCTCTGTGGCTGCTTGGCTCCTTGCTGTAGGTGTGTGGGGATGAAAAAGGTGAGATGTTGCTGGGATTAGCAGAGGGATCCAGGGCTGCAAGTCCACGAGCAAACCTCGGCTGTGTCCGTGGCAATCCCCACTCACACACATCTGGAGGAGAGGATGGCTAGGATCCCACAAGTCCATTTGGCAAGGCTGGCTTCAGGGATCTGAGGGACACTGGTAGAACAGAGGTGGGAATAAGAGGTCTCTGGCCCGGCACACCCAAGGCATGGCACACCATTCTGATAGAGCCTGCCCTGCACACCATGCTGAGCCTGCAGACAGGGTGACAGGGTGCTGTGCGGGCTTTGTTATGTATGTTTACTGGCTGCTTTGAAAACTGTCCCCTGCAGAATAGAAAGGTGCCTCCTCACAGACACAGGCCCCCACAGGGAAGGGCTGGGATCAGCTTGAGATCTCCAAGGTGCTCCTGGAGGGCCTTGTGTTCCTTCATCTTGGTCCTCCCCTTACACCAGAGCCACATCTAAGTAAGGTGCCCTGGACTGCCTGCTACCTAGCAAGCTGGAGCAGTCTAAGACAAAAGGAGCTAACTTTTGTTTGGAGAACTTGGAGCTGATCTACCCAGGCACTTGGGCAAGGTTTCTAAAAGAGCACAGCGAGTATGGGATGGGGAAGAGGTCAAAGAAAGGGATGTGAACCTTGGCTCCGCTGACATCAAACACAGGAGAAGTTTTCATCTTTGGTCTGTACAGCTGTGCTGCCTTGTGGGGCACACATGCTCTCATTGCTGGCTGTTAACATCTCCAAAGAAGACTTGAAGAAGGTACCTGTAATTACGCATGGGATGACTTAGTTTTGACCTGGTCCAAGGTTCTCTGCAATGAACTTAAGTACATTATCTCTCCTACAAAAGGGTTGTGATTAATTGTCAAATATCATCAAAAGACACTCCTTTTTCATCTTACTGTAGCTAGAACACTCATGGGATCTACCCCACTAATAGGTTTTTAACTGTGTGGCACGGCAGTCAACTCCAGGCTCAGTGCTTTACCACAGATCTCAGAATGTATTCAGCTTGCTAGCCTGAGTCATTACGTCTGTTCATCAGCAAGCCCCTGTGCCCTCTCCTCCAGCAGTCAACCACCATTGGTGTCTCTGAGGATACTTTAGAGACCTCCCAGGGATGCGAGATTTACACCACCTTTGCATCGCTTCACCTGCAGCTTCTCATATGGCAGGAATATCTGCCCCTTCTCCCTCAAAAACAGCCAAGGTCAAGTGTACAAAGAAGCTAGTGGAACCCAGTACCAGAGAATTGCATGGAGAAGTTGTGCGTAGAACAACCAGGCTGACCCCTCACTTATACTCACTCCCGCCTGTTTCCACATAATGGCTCCTGAGGACAAAGCTGATGGAGGAGGGCGTGAGAGGCGAAGGCTGGCCAGCAACAGGAAATCCCTTTGAAATGTTTTCTGTCATCTTACAAATGTCAGCAAATTGTATATGATGACCATATTCAATTTAGACGTATCATTCTATTTTGAGCTCATTACTGAGACGCGAAAAGGGAAGAGCCTGAAGGAGTTTCCTATATGCATCTCTGGGGACCACTTCCCATTGGACTGAGGTCCCTGGGGACAGCGGCGAGCTCTCAGCTATGCTGCTGCTCTTGTCTGTGGATAGCGGCTCACAGCCTCAGAGGGGAGCAATGAATCCTTCCTTAGATGGAACAGATGGTGACTCAGGACTTGACCTGTACCAGGCAGCTTCGGTTAGAGGGAAAACTCTAGGTGACAGCTGTGTTGAGACTGCAGTTTGAGGCAGGGGCTGCTGATTTTGTTGACTGACTAAGGTCCTTAGGGGTTGAGTGTTTCCAGGGTACAGGCCAAGAGAAACCATTTGTTCCACTCCATGGTCTTCTTTTCTGAGGCTCTGTTTGCCTTGCTACTTAGGCCTAAGAATAAGTGTGTGTAGGAACCTCATGCCACAATGGTTTCCAGGACCAGAGAGGCAACGAGGTTGTGGCAGGCACCTTCCATAGTCACAGTAGGCTGCAATTATACACAGCCCCTTCCTAGAGTCTGCCTTAGCAGTGTGGTTTTGCATCTGCCTTTCAGCAACATTGAGAATCACTTAGAATCTAAGCATGCTGGTCCACAGGGTTGTGATGGTAAGTTACACAGGGTTCATATGTTGTCTTAGCCATAGACAGTGCTGGAGGGGCACCTGACTCAATGCAGGCAAATCAGAACAGACTCCTGAGTGGCAAGCTTGCCATGGTCTTTTTTCTTGTCCTTTTGGCCAAAAGGTGTAAGCTATTGGCTTTCATGTGAAAAAGTTACTGAAATCAGTGCCAACTCAATACCCAGAGCAGCGGAGTCTGGGCTATGGGAGAGCAGGCAGGCATCTGCCAGGATTTGAATTTGCCTGTCAATGACCCATTGTTGTTCTTGTAAAATGACTGGACTCAGGACTCCCTGAGGAGCTGGATTCCAGGACATTGTCTCTGAAACTCCTGCTAAGTGGAGACCTAACAACAAAAATCAGATCAATGCTACCCAGGTCCCAGAACATAATTCCTAAAGTAATTAGTGGCCATTAGTGACGTCATCAGGTACCCAGGCTCTTTCCAGCAAGTGGCTGGCTACCTGTAAGCCAGGGACTGTGAGAGCGGAAAGAGAACCAGAGACCGAGAGCAAAGGAGATGCTCACAGAGACAAGGCTGAGGTGAAGGCTTGGCATTGCCCACCCTGAAGCTTCTCTGCTGCTTCCGGAGCCATCCCCACCTGAAAATCCTTGGTTAACCCTGACTCCCAGAGAGATTCCAGTCCAGTGCAGTCTGCAGGAACAAACAGGAAGCAAGAGTTCAGGTTGGCAGGAGGCCCTAGCGGGTTTAAGATGGAGGCCCATGGGGCACTGTATGCTGCCTGGCCTTCTTTTGGTGATCAGATGCAGCAGGAAGCCTGTAGCCTCTAAAGACGCCACATACAGGCTGAGTTCTTCTCTGGTCGTAGTTGATTTTTGTTGGATTGAGATCCATCCACCCTAAAGGTGAAACCGAAGTTTTCTGACTTGTAAAGAAAGACCACGGGTACACCAGCCAGCAGCATCCCAGTCACTGCAGAGGCTGCAGGGCCAACAGAGGATAGGCCTGCCGCTCCAACCACCCCCAATCACCTGCATTTTGTAGCTAAGGATAAGGAAAAGGACGGTGCATCTCTCTTGAGCCCCCTACCCAGGTGAGAGCCACGGGGCCAGTACTGCTGCAAGCAACTGGCTCAGCCACGGGGGCGCGCGGTGGCCTGGATTCATGATGGGTGCTTGATGGATGCAATGACAAGGCTGCCAGTGCTAGGGCGCGCGTGTAGCGTCCACCGGCCGCGGCCCCTCCGCGGCCCCCGCCCCAGCCCTAGCCAGGCTGAGCACAGCCGGAGCATGCGCCTTTGCGCGGCCGCGGCCAGGAGGCGGTGGGGAAGCAGCGCGCATCGCTCGGGCCCCTGCCTGCTCCCAGCCGCCAGTTGCCGGTTGCTAAGCAGTTATTGTTTCTGTGGCGATTGCAGAGGCTGTGGCTAATTGGAGAAGCCCCACTGAGCAGCAGCGTCTTCCTCTTTGGAGCCTGTCTCTGCTCTTTGCATTTAAAGAGCAAAGTAGGCTGCTCTCCCAAGCTCCCTCCCCCCCCCCCCCCCCCCCCCCGCAAAACCTGGTGATTTCGGAAGTATGGACTAGAATTTTGCTCTCCTCACCCTATCATTGCGACTCTGGTGCCTTCAAAGTCACAGTCAGACTACTCCTGACTCTGGGGTGGTGAGTGCCAGCACAGACCATGACCACTGCCAAGGAGCCCAGTGCCTCAGGAAAATCTGTACAGCAACAGGATCAGGTAAGGCTGCTGGTGTGTGTGTGTGTGTGTGTGTGTGTGTGTGTGTGTGTGAGAGAGAGAGAGAGAGAGAGAGAGAGAGAGAGAGAGAGAGAGAGAGAGAGAGAGAGAGAGAGAGATTTGGTCTATTGGCTGTCTGTAGCTCTAACCCCAGGTTGATGTGTGGGTAACACACCCTGCCCCACCCCCTCTATTTTAAAGGCTGCCGGTGGCTTTATCAATAACTGAAGAGCAAGGTGGACTTGCCCAAGAAGCTTTGGACAAAGGCCTCCCTCTTTGGGGCTGCCTCATTTAACCTGTGTTAGTTGTGAATATTCCCAACTACTTTGTAATTGGGGGAGAAAGGACACAGCAAGCATCCCTGGGCCAGGCTGATTGAGACCCTGCAAAGGGACTTTGCTGTGGCTCTAAGACAGGTCAAAAGCAGGCATACCTTGTGAAGGATCTTCCTTCCCATGTCTTCTGTCCCTGCCCTCTTCCTCAGAGTGTCAGTGGAGGCAGGGACTGGCTGTGTTCCTGAGGGCAGAGAGAGCACACTGCCCAGAATAACGAGGATGTGCCAGGAGTCAGGTGAGCCTGGCTGACCTGCAGGGCAGTGGGAACATTTAGGCTTTCTTGGAGTCCTCCAGGAAGAAGAGCTGTTCCTGCCCCAAGAGGGTTCCCTTCTGCATGCACGGGGAATGGATGCATGACTGCTGTGGATACTGCAGCTCCCCCCCCCCCAGAGGGTCTGAAGGGCTGCCTGTCCCTTGTTGTTCCCTTCACATCAGGAGGTCTCTAAAGCCGACCCTGGGAGACTCTACCAAGCCAGTACAGCAGTTGGTGCTGGCTTGGTTAATAGACAGCAACCACAGTTTCCCTTATGGGTCTAGGTTGTCCTTAGGTCACTTTTCCCAGCAACAAAGCAAAGGAGGGAAGCCCCTCTAGAACTCAGGAAAGCCAACAGTGTCTTTGGGGACAATATGTGAAAACACTGTCCTATCAACTATTTGGGGACAGTTGGAATTTGTACTTAGTGAGAGCTCTCTCTTTGGAGGTCATCTCCCCTAACTCATTTTTCAATTTTTTAAAAGGAGAATATCTTATCTCATCATGCAGAGATCTCACATACAATTTGGCTACTCCCAGGGAGAAGATTTTGTAAAACTAGAAGTAAAAAAGTCTTAGTCAGTGTACAAATTTGAGCAAGGGGTCGGTATGAGCATTTGAGCAAGGACTAATGTTCAGCCAAGCTGGATAGGTTCAGAACCGGCAAGGCAAGCCCTCCTCCTCATGAGCACCCTGTCCAATGTCTGCTCCTTAAAGAAATATTTCTACCCCAAATTAGCATACCATAACTCAGTCTCCTTCCTTGCTAGGTATGGCATTATTGCTCTCTGGGCTTTTCTGGGCATAGGTCATAAGGTTGAGAATGCTTACTACTGCTCTTGGTTCTAACCAAGTGTCAGGTGCCCAGGGTTCAGCCAACTTACGCAAAAGAACTTTCCTGGATTCTGTGCAATTTTCCCTTATTTTACCTGGTCCTGGCATGCACAGGAATGTCAGTGGTTGAATAAGGTGGGGGTTATGCACGATAGTAGGATTATAGGCCTTTAGAGCGTGAGAAAGCCCCCATTCTTGACCCAGGTTCTTTCGTGAGAAATGGACACTGTTGTCAACTGAGGTACTCCACTTTCCTTGTATTGCAATCAGTGGGTCCTTTCCTCTTTTTTCTGGTGGCCTGTTCCTTACTCTAAGAATGTCACAGAGCTGACCCCATGAAGTTCATAAAGAGTGGTCTAGGACTGGGTGGAGGAAAGCGAAGTGGGTGGAGGCCAAAGTCTCACATTTTTAAATTATATATGTACACATAAACATATTTATATATACACAGCTCTCTCTCTCCTCTCTCTCTCTCTCTCTCTCTCTCTCTCTCTCTCACACACACACACACACACACACACACACCAAAATCTCACATGCAACATGCTTATGCATGCTATTTTAAAATCTGTCGACAATAATCTTAACTTGCCCAACACAAACAGTAAAATAGGATAAAATGTGTCTTATTCCTTCATTATATACAATTTTCTTTAAGCTCCATGCAGCTGGGTGTGGTGGCTCACACCTGTGGTCACATCACTTGGGAGGCTGAGGCAGGGGGATCACTGTAAGTTAAAAATTGCCTGGGCTACAAATTAGACACTTTCTCAAAACTGCCCCCAAAACAAACAAACCTAAAAACAGTTCATGGTGAAGAATACAGAACTCGTTTGCTCATTTTCTTTCTTTTTCTTCTTGCTGGTGGAACAGGCAGATGGGGAATCATGGGAGTTGTGGGAGAAATCTGTTGCAATTGTCCTGAGAGAGATGTCCTGATTGTGGTTTAGCTGGTGGTTTTTTGTTGGCTTATTTGTCGGTGCTCACAAACACCTGGCCTTGTAGGAGTCATCAGAATCTTGGGGACTGGTGGCGATATGAGGCCTTAGGGCCAGCTAATAGCTTGCTTAAATGTGTGGATGGCCATAGTGAAGAATCCATTTCTTCTCAATAAGCCAAGGGCTGGTACCCTTTTCCACCTGCCCTGAAATTTGGGAACTATTCACGTGGTGGGGGAGGGGGGAAACAACTTCCCTATGCTGGAATCACCACAAATTGATTTAGAAATGAGAAAAAGTATACAATCAAATATTTTACATTTCCCCCCAATTATTGGTATGGTTCTACCAATTTTCTGAAAAAACACTGTGAAATAGATAAGTATGCATAATGAGTTGCTTGGAGCTTTAGTTTTTAAAGGATACGGTGAAGAGTCACTGGAATAAAAGGGAAAGGGGACTTCCAGAGCCCAACTGCTCTTTCTCCTTGGAGACACTGGATGATTCTATGTGGTTTTTTTTTTTTTTGCGTTTGTATTTTTTGCAGAGGGTGGGTGTTATGTCCATGTTATGGTATATGGATTTGGGGCTTTACATGCCATGATGTGTGTGGGGTGGTAGGCACATGCCATGGTATGAAGGTCAGAGGACCACCTTGTTTGTTCACTGCTGTGTTTGTGTGCTAGGATAGATGACCCATGAGCATCCAGACCTTCTCTCGCCTCCGCCCCTTGTCTCCTCGCACTGTGTGCTTGATCACAGGTGCTTGTGTGACTGTGTCTAGCTTTGTCTTGAGTCTGGGATCCAAATTCATGTTGTCAAGCTTGCATTGCAAGTACTTCAGCGTCTGAGCCTTCTTCCTGGCTTCTAATTTCTTAAAGTACAGTATAATCTGCCCCAGAATGTCTGGAAATAGCATGTTTGTTAATGTGAATGAGAAACGTTTACTCAAGTACCTCAGAGGCCACTTAGATAGGACTGAGCTGTTTTGGGGACTTCTGAATCCACCCTGGCCTCCACTCACTCCTCCCACACAGAGAGACCAAGAGAGGGAAGCAGAAAGGACGAAGGGAGTCGGGTTCAAATTTAGTGAGTTCTCACGGGAAGACTAAATCCTGCCTCAGAGAACCAAATTAAAATGATATTTCCACTTAAATTTTTAAAAGAACAGATTTATTTTAACATATGCTATCCTCATTTTAAATGATTTAAAATTGGAAAGCTGTAATCAGTAATGCTATTCAATAAGAGAAGACAGAAGGATCCATTCTGGATTTTTCCAATGAGCCATAAAACATTTGCTCAGCTATTGAGCAGGAATAATATTTTAGTGATGTAGATGATGCATGGATGTGTGCGCCTGTATGTATATACACAGATGTATATTCACAAACACAGATATGCTCATCATGCACAAAAACCTGTAGCCCTCGTGTGTCACAAAGTCACAGTGGCGCAGATCTCACAGGTGCTTGGGTCCGTGGCTGTATGTTGAGTCTCATGTAGGAGACTGAGAGGCCTGCTGTTAATGGTCATGTGATGTGTCCATTACTTGCTATTGCTTCTGTTTACTGACCACTGTCAATCCCAGACAGCCTACTAAGTGTGGGCCTCAGAGCCTAGCCTTGACTGGTAAGTTGAGTCATTTACTGAAGCATTTTAAATAATACTTCAATCGAGTAATGTTTTGAATTTGATGTTTGAATCCTAGAGTTAACATAGTGGCTGGGGCATGTGGTTCAGGCTATAGACAGGGGGGTTGAATGAGCACTTACAAGATAACTTTCTGACTGGTGTACTTAGAAACAATCTTGTCACTTCTTAGGGCACCAAGAGTCTATGCTAAGAGTACCTGGATTTGATTATCATAAGAGTTCAGCTTTTTGTATAATCATGTTAAAGGGAAAGTCAATGTGAGGTACCTGCATTTCATGTGTTATTAGGGTGCTAAGAGAGTTTGAAGGAGACCAAGAAAAACATATTTGGTATTAAGAAGGTCAGAACAACATACTGTGAGGTCATGATAGGAGAGGGAGGCATTCAGAATCCAGAAAGTGCCTTTGGTGTCAATGACTCTCATGAGCACATTCACAGAAAGTAAATTCCACCCTGAGTAGATTCCAAGTCATCTGTGGCCCCATGGCTAAGATACTGGGGGGATCTAGATAACCCTCGTAGAGCCTGCGAGCTTCCAGAGGGAGGCCCTGGAGCTGGGAGGCTTTCAGAAGAGAAGGTGATGTCATTGGAAGCAGGGTTACCCTAGAGAGCACAGCACTTGGAGCTCTGCTACAAGGGACACTGGGTGGTCTCATTGTGCTGTGGGGAAAAAGGAGGCTGGCTGCCACGTGCTGCCCTCATAGGAAGATGTTAGACTCCATCACCAGAAAGGGCTGTGTGGTGAAGAAACAGGCAGCTCATAGACCTGGTGAACGAGGCTCTGGGCAGTTCTAAAGCTCTGGGTCCATATCACACAGTGTTAATCAAGTACACCCAGATGGGTCACATGGTGCACCAGATGAAAGCCCAGATAATAGGAGAATGGTAGGAGATCTTTCGTCTCCAGACTGACTGCTGCAATAGACCAGGTCAAAGAATGGAAATAAGCTATCCAACCTTTTCTATCTCTGTGATCAAATTAGTCCG